AGAGTTACTGCTTCAATTTGCTTGCACACTGCAAGAACACTGCAGCTGATTATACTCAGAAAATAAATCACCCTATCCAGAAGGCTGAAAACTGCAATTTTCCGCCCAGAAACTGAATGTTACGTTGTCCAGAAACTCACAGGACTCCTCAGAGAAGCGTTCTTGCAGCATATCGACCACTGCCTGCTGAATCAACTCTGATGGAATTTTAGTTTCTCTTGGGACATTTAGCATGTGTCTACTACAATAGGTAGATGGACAGGAAGAACAGTCTGAGACCACATAAAAGCAAAATCAAGTTTCTAAAATTGTTTTAACTGTGAAACAGATGAGATACAAGATGGTCATGGGTAAAAACTGAAATGTGTATTGTACCCACCAGGAATCAGAGAAAATGGCTTACACCATATAAGTTTACCATGTGTGTAGATTGCATCCTGTCTTTCTTATTTCCCCCTCCCCCACATCCTATAGTTCTTTTTGTTTTTAATAAAACATTCTAAGTTTTATGAAAGATGACTGCTACAGCTTTTATCAGTTATGGCACAATTTAAGGAATATATTTTCTCTTTCTTCTAACATTCTCATGATACGTTGTATAAGTTATTATTCTGTTACTTCTTTTTTATGCCTAGTAGGCAAAGGCAGCCACTTAAAGCATATCTTGACATTATTTTCTCTAAGAGCAAAGAGGGTTTCATATATTTTGCAGCTGTACTCCAAATAAAAATGTATAATTTTGAAATAGGCACTTATTTTTATTCTTACTGAAATTGTCACTCTTCTATAACTTGCCTTTCTCCTTAAGAAAATATAATTAAACAATCTGTAACGAAAGAGCTTCTCTCACTGGGAGGCCATTCTACTGTCCAACATATTCCACAATTGTGTTTTCCTAGATACTCTAATTAAATGTGCTTGTTTATAACCCTTCACAGACAATGTGGTTCCAAACACTACTCTAATTATTCATCATCATCCTTCTTGCTTCTAAATATTTTCAAGTTATCATCACTTATTCTTTGTATCCACTACTTCCCTAAGCTCGGGTTCAAGTTTGTTTATGACAATTGAAGTATGGGAGGTACTTGGGGAACTGCAAATATACAGCCAGCCATTAACTTACTGTTTATACATGCTATAGAAAAATATAATCTACAAATGGTAAATTCTGAAGCATATAAAAATAATTTTCATGAAACTAGCACTTTCCATTTAGCTAATTTGGCTGTGATTTACCCAATAGAACATAGTCCCTGTGCCCTCTAAACAATACAATAAAAATCAGCTTATGCAAAATTTCTCTCACTTTTATTTCACTTCAGTTGCAAGGCAAGGACATCACTCAAATCAGTTCTGGCACCCCAAGTCAACTTCACCTGTATCCTTACCATAGCAGCACCTTTTGGAACTAGTATAACGTGAGAGGTATCTGTTTTCACCACAATTTCCCCCAGAAATCTGTGATTAATATTGTCCAGGCTTTTATCTCTTGCTTGTATTAGAAAGGACGATAAAATGTGGGAAAACTCTGGAGGCAGGTATTTCAGATAGCTCTGGATTAGAGATTTAATCTGCATAAACTTTCCTGTAAACAAAAGCCTACTGACAGTGAAACCCTTACCAAATGCACATGCCTTTTGGGAAACAAAGTAGCAATATTTTTTTCACATATGGCAAACATATTCCAGAGAAGCAACATATGCAGCAAAGTAGAGAAAGAGTAAGCCAAACAAACAAATAAACAACAACAACAACAAAGAAACCCCTTTTCAGCAACTCTAGACCACTCTTGCCCAGGGTAATCCAAAGAAAGTGAGAGGACAAGCAGCATTAGTGTCACATCAGTGACATTAGTCTCTCAGTGGGGCTTACCATTACTAGCATACTTTTGCAGTGCAAGAATTTAATTCTGCCTTTACTGCTACGGAATCAGGGTACTAATAGTCATTAGTTGCAGTGGGTTTAGGTGATTAAAACTAAAATTTCTTAGATAGTAATAATTTTTTTGCATGATGTTTGTTTAAAAAAAAGAATAGAAATGTTAATCAGAAGTAATTGCAGTAGCATTTCTGTGATCTACAGGTTTCGTAATTTTCTAGATAGAATTCAAAATAAAACAATAATTATAGCACACTAATCTACTGAGAATTCTCTCATTTATCAGTTTGATCTGGTATTGAATAAAACATAATCAAATACCTAAACCAGCTCTCTATTTGCAGCTGCATTTTCACTGCTTTCCTGATGACCTCTGGAAATACAACATATTTCAGTATACAATCAGTTTTGGTTACTTTGCTTTACACCTCAGCCAAATGTTTGTAAACAAAAGTGTGGCTTTTCAGACCACCCTTGGAGACTGCTAGAGTGGCTGAAAAGGACAGGCCAGCTCATTTTTTTGAAAACTGAGCAATTACCAATCAAAATCAAGCCATAAACTTTCTTGATGAGCAATAACTGCAATCCATCTTACACCTACATTTTTAGGAACAATCATCTCGATATTATGACATTCCATAACATACTATTTCATTATCATACTAAAACAATAATCACATTAGCAAGGTTCCTGTCTCCTTTCCTCGCATCACGAGCTACACGCAGATATTCCTTTTAATTGCTTCCAGAGAAACATCTGGTCCTGCTGATGTAAATGAACAGACCATAGTGCATCTCTGGGTGTACCTGACCACTACATACAGCTTGAATAGACTTGGTTTTGGGAAGCTAACAAACCACTTCAGCCTGAACCAGTACTGAAACACTCTGGATTCACAAACAACTATAGTAGTTCTTCTGATTGCAGTGTGATGATCTTTCAAAAATATGCTAGAATCAGTCAGTTTGGCAAGTTGTACTGATACATGTGTGATAACTGTTGGTAAGAATATGGTTCAAGACATTAGACACGGCCCACACATTTAATCTAATGGTTTAGATTAAATAAGAAGAACCACCATTAAAGCTGGACAGATAAAGCCACACGGAAAAATTAATATATAAAGGTAGTCTATTTAGCAGAGGCCAGCCTAACCCCTATAAGATAAAACAGAATCATATTTGGTGGAAGATAAAGCTGAACAGGTTGAAGTCTAACTATGTAAGGTTTTCACTGGTTGTTGGCTGTACTGGTAGAAGCATCACTGTACAGGAGATGCATCACATACAGTCCTGTCCCCTCATCATTTTCTGAGTCTGATACTTTCTCTTTGGGGACTCAAAGACTCAGTATCTGCATTATGATATTGTGAAAGATACAACATGCTTTCTGTGGCTGCCTGCAATGTAAAGATCCTCACTGATAATCTGTTGTCTTCACGGGAAGTCTGTGTGTTGGCTTTAGCAAGACCTGGAACGGCACTAATTTAGCTCTTAGACTTGTAGGAATATACAAAAAACAATACTGGAACTGATCAAATATCCACCTCTGACAGCAATCAACAACAACAACAACAAAAAGAATCTAAGTACAGAAAAGCATGGATACTCTCCCATCTGTGATTTCAGCACTTCCTGCAGAGGTGGAATCTCAGAAATGAAACAGTCCCCAAATGATTTTTTAGATTAATTTGTTGACTCCTTTTCTGAATTCATACACATTTCAGCATGCAATGCATCCTGTGACAAGGGGTTCTGTAGACTGATCATGAGTTTCACAAAATGCAGCATTGTTTTGCTTGTTTTGATACTTGTCAGTTCACATTCTTCAGTGGATAAAACAACTGTTCCCTATTTTCTCCATTTCACTTGCAGTTTTGTAAACCTTGACTTTATTCCTCTCTAGTTTAATTGTTCAGTTGCTTGAAAGCAAGAAAAAAACCCAAACCTTCAGACTGGTTTTTACTGAATCACTGGTTTGTAACTCACCTTGAGATTATTCCAGTTAATGTCAGCCTCAATGACGAAGTTAAGTCAGAGAGCCAAATTAAAACCCAAGCTGGTAACTTATTTAAAATGCTAATTGGATTTGAAAAAAAAAAAAAAAAAAGGATAAATTAATTTAAACATATCTTCACTAAAATTCTGAGCTAACATATTTAGAATTTTTTTTTAATACTGAGGAAAAGTGAAGCAGGAAGTATATCTGTCTTCATATTTTCATTATCCACCAGGGACATGGAGCTATGATTGCCATTTGCAGTTTGATAACCACAGGAAACTCTGCCTGTGAAGAACCACGTTCAAAGGAAGAATGAAATACCATTTCATCTTACACTGATAAATTTCAGACACTGTGCACGCCACCTTTGCGGTCCTGCTGCAAGCTGGACATCCATTTAAGGACGTCTTCTCACGAGCAGAAGCTATGACACATCTGTCTCTGTGGGAAATTACAGAAGTTTGCCAGTTTAGAGTCAGTAACAGAAAGGTAATCGAGCAAAAAATTAAGTTGTGTTCCAGGAAAATACAGCATGTGATAGACTAGGGTGACCAAGTAGGACGGTAAGCCCAGTACTCCTTGGGATGGTCAAGAGAACCAAATAGTTCACATATGAATTATCAGATCACATTGAAAAAGGTACATATGAAAAGCAGGTTATGGCCAAAGAAGGGGAAAAAAAAAATCCCTAGGAAGTAACCCCCTGATAATCATGCTGGAACTGATACAAAACTTACCATATCAATCACTTGTTGGAGATACTGTGCAGCTGGCAGAATAAGTGACAAGAGCCGATTCAAAACCATAGAAACATGTTTTACATGTTTTTATGGATACACAGACTACATTTATGCATTTATGAGCTAACCTTTTGCGACTGAAGTGAGACTTACAGAGCTAAATTAATGGTCTCCTAACAGGTCTTTTCAGTATTTTACTCATAACCTGCACAAACACCTAGCTCTGCTTCAGAAATTTACAGTGCGGACTTTTCAGTCATGATTTCAGGCACTTCAAAATCACGGCAAAGGATAAGTTTCAAATCCAACACTGCTAATTTTTCTAGGACCACCAACACAAAGATGCTCATTCATTAACAAGCGTGGAAAGCACTAACCAGTGACTGTCGGAACAGGAAACACTTCTTTGGGTCAATACCACAGGCAAGGATGGCGGCAGTGGTGTCCAGTATGTTCTGGCGCAGGACAGCTGGTTCCTTGGGCATGGTGAGAGAGTGCATGTCCATAATGCTATACAGCACTGAGCTGTACTCTTCCTGCAGATTCACCCAGTTCTGAATGGCTCCAAGGTAGTTACCCAGATGAGGTGTTCCGGTTGGCTGGATACCAGAGAAAATCCGATCCACGACCGTATTCTGTGGCAAAGCATTGGTAAAATTAACACACGCCTTTTTTTGGACAGATTCTTTTATATTTAAAAGTCATTAAAAAAGCCTCATTTATGTCTGTGTCTTCTCTCCTCAGCGTATTAATGTATAAATTACCTCAGGATTGATAATTGCAGCAAGTCAGTTAAAATACTCTATCTTACTGCAGAGAGACTGACAACTACCATAATTTTAAGTTGTCAGACTGCATATGCAAAAAATGATAGATGTAGACAGGATTGGTGAAAAGCAGATCTCAAAAACCAAGTAGTAGATTCTTTCAGCCTCTTTTGCATTGAAGTTGTATGTTTCTCTTTAGTTTCTATATCCACTATAGTTTCTATACCTGCATTTCAGTTTCTATATCCATTCTGATATAGAAACTTAGGATCACAGTGTAGAGAAATTCAAACATTTTTGTTATAAACTCATTCAATGTCCCAGTAGATTGCCATCTTAACTCCCATGAATGCTGAAATCTTATTTTTCTAGCTGCAGAGAACATTTTGAGCGGTTCCTGAAAGAAATCTAGTCCTTGACCTACAGGTTAAAGAATAATGAAAGAGATCATCAAAGTTCTGAAACTACCTATCCTGGCAGCAGCACAGTTTTTAAAAGGGCTCTACAAAGAAATACTGCTATAGCTCAAGATCACACCTGGAATACTGTCCATGCATCAGGATCAGTAAAATGTCAACATCTGAAGAGAGTTCACAGAGAAACAGAAAAAAACAACTGAGAAGCTGAGACTGTGAGCAAAGATTAAAAAGCTTGAAACATGTATAGCTTGGCTATGTGACAGTTACCATCTTAGAAAGTTTGTTTTCCTGCATCCCAGTCCTCCATCTGACCATTTTCTCAGAGTCCCAAGCTGTCAGCAAATGATCAATTACCTCCCCGACCTTTCCAAAGAATTCCACCATATTCAGAAGTAGCTCAGCAATGTTTTATGTGTAAATGCTTGTTATATGCCAAGTTGTAAGAGCATGCAAGACTGCTCGACTTACAAATGAGGGTCCCCCAAAACTTCAGCAAGGAGTCCAAGTCACAAAGCTGCACAATACAAACCTCAGAGTCTGTTGTGCGACAGGAACGTCAACTTCATTATGCCTGTGGCTGCATGATTTTTTCCTGCTAAATTTTATGAGCAACATCTATAACTTAGCAGGGAGAATTTACTTACTGATGTAGTCTGTTTTCTTTTCTGTGAATCTTCTACAAATGTGTGTGGGAGAAAAAAAAGTCATACAACTATTAAACCACACAAAATGGCAGTAAAAGTCAAGGCCAAGTATCATTATTTTTAACTATTAAAAAAAGGACTTCAAACTGACTTAATTAATTTTGACTCAGACTCAAGAAAAATTAATGAGAAAGTGTTTCCAAGTGGAATAGGAATTTTTTTTTTTTTTTAAACATGATCTATACTTCAGAAAAGCCTTGCCTATTTCCTTCAAAATTTGCTGAAAATTTTTCTGCTTTCAAAGTAAACCTGTTTTTCAGATCATGACAATTTTGTTATCCAACGTTTTAAGTGTTTGTGTTGACAGGCAAGAGTGGGTTTGGGCTAGCTGCCATGCTAATTTCTCCTGTTCACATAAATGACTACACATTTAAGTCTTGGTGGTAACCCCTTCACCCCATCCCAAATATCTTCTTGACTTCTAGTATATTGTTGAGTCAGTTTCTAAGTGCTCTTGGAGAACCTCCAGCACAGGAGCTGCAAGGTAGTCACTGCAATGAAAAACACACCATTTCCTCCAACAGCAATTCCAACTTCCAGCCCTTCTGCTCCAGTCCTCGACTACATATGCCTCTTTTCTCCATTACACAAAAATGGAATTATGTTAATCAATCTCATTTGATTGCTTGTTTTCCTGGGAACCTACATCAGAGCATTTCTCACCACTCACAGAACCCACTCACCTCCCAGTAAGCTACTATCTGGCCTAAGGACTGCAGACAGCTTCTTCCTAACACTGAGAAGGGCCAGGTGCTCACCTACAGAAGGAGACATACAGCATTCCAACGTATATAAATAAGTGAAGTCTTGCAGAAACTTGGGTAACTTGGAATACACTTGGCTTCAGAGCTGTACTTCTATTACTATGGGCTTAGAGCAGTTGCTAGGCAATGCAATAGGTACTTTACAGGCATAACATTTGTTTCTTGCGTCCCATATTTCTGCTCTTCACCAAGAAAATAAGAAATCAAGAAGAAAATCAGGCTATAAATAGATGATCCCTAAGATGGTGTTCTGCCCCTAAAGGGACCCCAGAACAGCGGGTTATTTATCAGAGCACATAACTTCTTCTCATCTTCCTGTCTCCTCTTACTCAGAACAAATCCTGATACTCCTTCCCACAGTTGTTTCTCCCCATAGTGCTGCTTGCTTTCCAGTGTCCATTTATATGCCTGTTTAACCACACTCTTTTCACAGGCTACACTTTTCACAGCCCTACTCTCCATCTCCTTATCGGACAGTTTCATCCCTCCTGTATCGTCTTCTTCCTCCACTTGTGCTTTCCACCCCTTGCTTCCCAAAAGAGTTCTTGCATGGTGTATCAAGACAGTAAGAAGGCACAGAGAATGCCATATGGTGAGGTTATTATTGTTATTACTATTATTACTAATGAAGCTATTACTGCCTTGACTCCAGTGACTTTGTATAAATATGTTTCCTACCTGCACAGTTAGAAAAGCTAAGAAACTTCATAATGTGCTAGAAATCCACTGTGGATGTGCATCAGGTAAAGTATGCTAGGATGACCAAGTTAAAGCATGGTGAAGAAACCTTCACATCTTTCAAGTGCAGCCTAGTCAAAGACAGCATCACCTGAAATGGCTCTTGATGTTATTCCTTCTTTTCCCTGGGACCCTGAGGCTAGTGCTACTTCAGTGCAGAAGCAGCTCTACCCCTTGGGGTAACTGCCTGTTATATCAGAAAGCAGGAATTTATGTGCAGTCAGCAGAGATCAGCTCATGTGTCAATACCATGACCCAAAAAGAGCTGAACACCCTGACTTTGTGGAGAACAGCTCTGTCTAGAAACCTCGTCAGTCCCCAAGTCACGCAGCAGCTGCAGTTCCCTGCTTCATATGCTTCCCATAACATGTTATCTGCCTTTATCTGCCTTTTCTCTTCCCAGATCACCGTCCAGTTTGTAGATTATGCCACTATGAACATATTGGATGTTCCCAAATTTAAGTATAATACACTCAATACAAAAAAATGCAACAATGACATTTAAATAGGCAGTTTGAGAACATCTTTCACCAAGAAAATCCAAGACATCAGTCTCTTAACATAACCTGTACATTCAAATACTGCACTAACTCTGAATATTCAAAGGCTCACAATGAGCTAATGAAAAGTAGATTTGTTGTAATACTACATAAGTTAGCATCTGGTGATACACTCTATGTTGAAAAGAAAACACCCAAGTACAACGTAAAATGGACATAGTTTCATATAAAGAGAGAAAAAAGTTCTCTGTCTATCCAGTAAAGAGAATACCTGTGAAGGCAAGCATGACATCTGTAATGGTGCTTTGTATGTTCGAATGGTAAACAACTACTTATAAAAGGGTTGTTCAGTATAAGGGCAATAAATAGCAAGTTAAACATGAGAAACAAACAGTAGTAGTATTATACTGAGTCTAAGCTCAGCAATTACTTAACCTAAAGTATGGAATTTGCAGAAACAAGTAAATCCAATAATGAAAACTGAGCTATGCTGAACCTGAGTAAAGCACTAACAAATACATTACAAAGGACCCACATTGGCTCCCAGCTGAGGGACCCGTTGACTAGAACTCTTTCATCTTTAACTCCTTTGATTCCATTTAACAACATAAAGCATGACAAGTTACAGCAAATAGGGTGGCATGAAATATTCCATTGTGTTAGCAGAAGTCTATATTAAAAAAAGCCTACACAAAACACCCTCAAATGAATCCTGGATTTCTCACACTAAAAATATACAGAGAACATTGCTCCTTTGGAGAGAGTTTATGTTCCCTGTTTGTTCGCTCCGTGAGAAGCAGCGGGCAGCATAGCAGCGTGGCAGGGGAGTTCTGCCTCGTACCATGAAATCATGGGGCTGGAATGCACTTCAATGAAGCTGTTAGGTCAGGGGATGGGAGCTGTGTGCTTGAAAGTACTGGAGTTGGAAAAGGATAAAAACAAAAGGAGTGAAGACTTCCCAATGGAGCAGAGTGAAAGCCACAAGACATGCAGCTCCAGCCCACAGGCACTCACTCATTCAGACATCTGTAGTAAGCACAGTGTGAGCCTGCTGTTCGTATGTTTAACTCTGTGTGGTGTGTGCACCTACACCAGCAGTGCTTCATGTTAATCTTCATTCCTATTAAGAGTGTAGTAACTGACAGATGATTTAACATCTACTATTTTTTATCTCTCAATTAGACTTTTGCATGGCAATTCCAAACACCACAGTGCATTTCTCAGCCGCATTACCAAACAAAGCTTGATCCAAAACCTATTAAGATTCAGGTGTTCTCTTACCTAACCTCCCTTTTTGCAATGAGATAAACAACTGCTGCTCCTTATACTGAAAAACTGTCAATATCCAAATGCTCTCAAACCATCAGGAATAATCATTTCATTCTTGCCCCAGAGTAGGATGGCTAAAGTCTTATCCTGAAATCCTGCAGTATGGCCATACCCATCTTCAATGCAAAAGAGTATACTGGAAAAGATGATAGCTTCCAAAATCCAGTGCTTCCCTCTTGGACCAAAGAAGAGCTTTTCTCAGTATGCCACACTGGTAGTAAGGAGAGCTACAATTGTCAAGGCCTCAATTCAGCAGTCAAAAGCACACTCACATTCCCTTTCATGAGATAAATGTGTCAGAACCAGAAGATGCACCAAAGCTGCTACAAATAAGAAAATATGCACATAGATGAAAACATCCCACATCACAACCAATTCTTGGTATCTGGATTATAGATTTCATGTTTAGCATTA